CCCCAAAACCCCAAAACCCCAAAACCCCAAAACCCCTTGTTTATTATTGATGATTGAAAGGATTTACTCAGTCTGCTGATTCTTCGTAACTTTCTCAACAATATCCCACATTTCTTTCTGCTCTTCAGGTGTTTTAATATGTGATAAACAACTGGCATATAGAGCTATGAGGTCTACAGGGTATTCTTCTGGGCTCTTTGAGATTTTAGTAAACTTTTTATCTAAGTGATCCCACAGCTCCTTATTATCGATTTTATTATCCATCATGCCAAGTAAGAAACAGAATTCGTTAATCTCATCATCAATGATGAGTTGTCTTTTGATAACTTGATCTATGAGATGGTTCCAGACTTCATTCTCATCAATCTTTGATCTTACTAAAGTGTAAATTAGGTTTTCTATAGTGTGATTGTTTCACTCATCTAGGTTAGTGATAATCATCTCTAAAGAATCATTTCAAAATTCTTCATGAATCTGTCCAGACATTGCAACACCCATTAGGCATTTAATGTAATCGTCAAGGAAGAGTTCTATATTGATATGTTCCTTATGAGCTTCGAAATCTTCCATTGCTTGGATTAATTGGGGTTCAACAACTTTCTGCCAAAAGTCTTCAGGAATTTTATCATCTAAAGATTCATATACCTCACTTACTGGCAATTGGAGAGCAGAAGAGAATTAAGAAATGAGATAAGTCTGATAGATTGTACTCCTCAATGAACTGTACTGTGGTCAGGTACAGATTATACAGTAGGTCTGAAGGAATCCTATTTGGTTCGATCAAGTTTTTTGACAAAGCAACTGCAATATAGAATCAATCTTTACTCTCAGCTGTATCAATATGATCATTTATCTTGCTCAAGACGGTTTGGTAGAGAGCTTGGTTATCTCTACTATCCATGACTAAGGCAAAGAGTAGCAGTGCCAAAGTCTCTCTATAATCATTAATCCTTACGACTTACGTATTTTTGATACTTTGGATATCATTCAGTAGCTTAGAGTCAAACCTACTCCAAAATATTTTGGAAGTTTGTCTGAATTTACAGAAATAATACACAAGGTTTACTGTACTTTCTCCTGAAAGAAAGGAAATTGAGCCGTAGCTGAGCCTCTCAAGTAGAGTCCATATTTCTTGGAAGGGCTCTAAGATTCCAACCTTCTCCACTCAATGATTAAGAGCGAGAGCAAATTCACTGAGAGGAGGGGTTCTCATCCTTCTCATTTTGACGATTAATTCTTTTAAATATTTCTTTGGAATTTCAGGATCTTTAATTTTACCTTCAAACTCTTTTAACTGAGTATTTATTTCTTCTAATTCCTGTTCGATATCTTCAAGGGTGTCGAAGTTCCTGAGGTCATAGTCTTTCATATATTCAATAGGGTTTCTCTCATCAATGCTAAAATTTCGAGATGGCAGCATTTTAAAAAGAGTTGATGGGTATTTCGAATTCCTGCTAAATCATGAACTTAAAGAAGAATTTCTGTCTACAGACAAGTTCATAAAAGCTCTTCTAGTGCTTGTTCTACATAATGACTTAACTCTCATTATCCTTAAAGGTTTAGATTGTGAGACTAGGTTGCTTTTGCAAAACACTCTTGTTCCAAACTTGATCATTTATGGCTGGGTTTAATATTATAATCAACTTATAGATACGTTTCAGGGGTTTTGGGGTTTTGGGGTTTTGGGGTTTTGGGGTTTTGGGG